ACCTACATTTATTATTACCCATGATCATCATGTAGCAGGTCCTTTGCAGAACGTCACTCTCATCACAGTCTGCCTGAAATTTAAGCCTGAACAAGATGACCAGAGCAAGGGATAACAGACCAAGAACAAGATGGAAAGATAACATCAAACTCTACAACAGCAATGATGTGTCTCTGGCTAGGCGGCCAGAAGAGCAAGAAACAAGGCTTTTTATCTCCATCGTCACCTCAAGTTGCACAAAATGAACCGAAGAAGATGAGAAGTGAAGAAGAAGAAGAAGAAAGAGGTGACAAATGCAGCTTCTAAAAAAAGGAGTTACAGAAACAATCTGGATAAAATGGATTAACATAAAAAAATAATGGGACAGAAACTAGTTTATAATGTATACCATGTATACAGTCAATCAGATATGCGTGATGAGCTGCCTAGTTTTGACAGAGTCTACAATGAGCTTGATATAAAGGACCCTTTTCATGTCACTGGCATATATAGCCAATGGTGCTAGACCCATTTTTTCTAGACTAATCAGCAACTGATGTGTGGTCAATATAATTCTGGCTGACTCTACTTCTCATGATATTTCCAGGTACCCATTTTAGGCTGAGTCCACCTAGGAGCCTAGGTTATGAGTGTAACAAAGCTATCGAGTCTTAAAATTTTCCTGAACAGCATTTGAAATGTACAGCCTAGCATCCTTTTGGCTGAATGTTTGAAAGTTATTAATTAAGTGGGCTACCTGCTAGTCTTGACTTTGCAAAAATAATTGTTATCCTCAGAAGAGTCATCTCATGTATGATTTTCCTTATTCATTGGAAAAAAAAAAAAAACATGGAATGAGAAGGAGATAGCCCTTTTAATTTCATGCACCTTGCATCAATTTCTGTTTCAGAAGAAATTGGATGACACTCAAATGTTGGTTTAAACAGGAAATTGCACAAAGTGTATAAGCTGAGTGTACAATACACTAATACTTATGTGTTTTATCTGTAAAAATAGTTGCTTAGGTGAAATATGTCAGAGTGTGCCTTAAACATCAAAGACAATTGTCACTGAGCAAAATCGAAGTTGTCTATCCACAAATATTAATGTCATGGAAAACTGAAGTCAGCACACACAATTTCAGTGCAGTGAACAGGTTATACATTTGGTGTAATACGTTACATAAACCATCAGACAAACATTCAGACTTTTCAAACAACCTGACATGTTATACAGTTTTTAGTTTTTTTTCCTTTGCAGCTCTGATACTATCACTGGTGTCTGCCAGGAATTTATCTCTGAGGATTAAGCCTGCTCGAGAAGTGGCCACATTGAGTAAATATATTTTACAACATTTGCTATGACAGGTAAAGAATTTACGGGTTTTCCTGATGCGCTATTGTTGATGTTCCAACCGCAGACACTTCAAACGTACATTTGAACAGAAACACTCATCTGGCTGCAGATGCCAACCCAGCCACTGGTATGGAACTGGACAGTCAGGTTTTTCGGCCCAGGTCAACTGCGTAATCTAAGATACACATTCTCTGAAGACTCACTCACTTCTAATTCTTCAAGCGCCATATGACGTAGCTTTCTCAACATGAAAACAAGAATAAAACTTCTAATTCGTTCCACATTTAAACAGCCTTTTTTCCTCTCGGGTTCTCGAATGTTCTGCACTCGACTCATGCTTTTCTTATCTGGCACACTTACAGCCAATATGCACGCTTGTCTCAAGTTATTTTTTACTCTTTACCATTCAACTGAATTCAAGCATATAATTTATGCTTAGTATTTAACCTCATTTACAAATGATGAGAACACTAATTAACAACGAGAAAATGATTTATTACAGATACTGCAGCTGAAAAGTTCTATGGAATGAGGTAAACCAACTAACACCTACATTGCTAGACACCTCAAATAACTTGGTAAGCTATACTGTTATCATGCTTGGCTTCCAAGCCCCAGTAACACAGCAAACAAACATTCTGAAAAGTATATTATCTTACTGTCGGCAGCCAGCACAGAGCATACAGTAACAGCAGTCACAAACATGGCACATAGCCAATCGAGTCTGACGGCCAGCCAGCGACTCGTGGCCAGAAACAGGAACCAGGCCTCCGAATGTTTGTCCTGATAGGCATCAAACTCTTCCATGAACTTCTCCTCCATCTTCATGGAGCGGATTGTTGGAAGTCCCTGCAGTGTGGCACTCAAGTAGGAGAACACTGGGCTACGAGCTGCAACATTCAAGTCAATCAGTAAAGGTTAAAGGTCAACTAGTTTCAAGCATTAAACAGGCTCTAGATAAGTGAACACTTTCTTTCCCAAGCAACATACTGCGTACGACCAGACATCATGCACATACACCAATAACCACGCTATATATGTTTTGTATCTTAAACTGAATCAGGAACCCAACAGAAATGTAATATTTAGTTGTTTTTCACAAGGGCTGTGTATTTGGACCATGTGGAAGTAGTAAACCTATATATGTTTTTTGCTGTCAAAAATGCCTTTCTGGGGTATAAACTGCAACCTTCCGGTACCACAAGAGTTGAAGCTACAAAGATAAGAACAGTCCAATAGTAGATACTCTTCGCTGGTGTTTGACTTAACATACGCTTAGAAAAGCTGAGAATAATATAATTAGAATGTCTGAACAATATAATTAGAATGTCTTTGCACTGGAACCCACAGAAGCACAGAAATAAAAGCAGACCAAAACCTTCAAGAAGAAGGGAGCTAGTGAGTGAAGTCAAAAGGACAGGGAGGATATGGGGTGAGCTGCATGCAAAAGCAAAGAATAGCATGACTTGGCGTAAGTTGGTTGGTTGCCTGAGCTTTGTTGGGAAATTAAAGGGCACAAGAAGATTAAGATACTGTGTGTCACTGAAGTAGATAAAAGAAACAAAGATTATGAACAAAGTAACCTACCATGTTGCAATAGGGGACAAAGAAGGGTTGGCATAGGACTGGCTTCCTTAACTGCAAAACCCAAGCAGTCATAAAACAGTTTACTAAGGGCTTGGTGTGAGTTGGGTAAAAGTCTATGCTTTATTCAGATGAAAGACAGGAGAAAAGGAAGAAACACAGCAGAGACTGCAGCAGGAGTTAAGAGATTCAGGAGACAGAAAATAATAGATCTGGTGTGTGTTGACTGATGACCTGTGCTCCACTATAGGATAAACAGTCACAAAACATTACCTCATATTTCACAGGCAGTAACCAAACAATAACTGACTGAAAGTATATGATACAGAAGGTTGTGGATAGACATGACTACCAATGCCACAAGACAAAGACCCAAAAAAAAAAAAAAGAAGAAGAATCAAACAATAAAAGTAAAGCTAGCCACAGCCCTTCACAGGTTCACTAATCAAACAATAAAAGTAAAGCTAGCCACGGCCCTTCACAGGTTCACTAATCAAACAATAAATGTAAAGCTAGCCACAGCCCTTCACAGGTTCACTAATCAAACAATAAATGTAAAGCTAGCCACAGCCCTTCACAGGTTCACTAATCAAACAATAAAAGTAAAGCTAGCCACGGCACTTCACAGGTTCACTAATCAAACAATAAATGTAAAGCTAGCCACAGCCCTTCACAGGTTCACTAATCAAACAATAAATGTAAAGCTAGCCACGGCACTTCGCATATTCCTTAATCAAACAATAAACCTAAAGCTAGCCACGGCACTTCACAGGTTCACTAATCAAACAATAAAAGTAAAGCTAGCCACAGCCCTTCACAGGTTCACTAATCAAACAATAAATGTAAAGCTAGCCACGGCACTTCGCATATTCCTTAATCAAACAATAAACCTAAAGCTAGCCACTGCACTTCACAGGTTCACTAATCAAACAATAAATGTAAAGCTAGCCACAGCCCTTCACAGGTTCACTAATCAAACAATAAATGTAAAGCTAGCCACGGCACTTCGCATATTCCTTAATCAAACAATAAACCTAAAGCTAGCCACGGCACTTCACAGGTTCACTAATCAAACAATAAATGTAAAGCTAGCCACGGCACTTCACAGGTTCACTAATCAAACAATAAACCTAAAGCTAGCCACGGCACTTCACAGGTTCACTAATCAAACAATAAACCTAAAGCTAGCCACAGCACTTCACAGGTTCACTAATCAAACAATAAACCTAAAGCTAGCCACGGCCCTTCACAGGTTCACTAATCAAACAATAAACCTAAAGCTAGCCATGGCACTTCACAGGTTCACTATCAAAGGATAAATGTCAAAGTTTCAAAGACAACAAGAAAAGCACCATCACCACCATGCAGAAGGCCCGATGGAGAATGCTGCTCTCATCAGGGCACACCAGGAAGCCACTTGGTCCCTCTCAACTTTTCCTGTGTGAAGTTTCATGCCCAGGATGTTCTTGATAGCCTGTGCTCACACTGCCATGCTGACTGACCTCTGCCTCTTCTTTCAGGAAATATATCCACCAGGACTGTTCTCTCCAGACATTTATGACATCTATAATGACTGAAGTATTTTAGTTTACAGAAAACTATACTGTTTCTAAGCCAGTAACTCCAGATACTCAGATCATGAAAACTGTCAATATGTTTACTATTCTTAATCTATGATATTCTAAGAATCTTTCAGTTGCAGTTAAGTTCAAAATTATAGATTTTCTTCTGCAGTGGTTGCAAAACAGTCCATGACTCACATCTGTATGTTACCACAGGAAAGTTGCACTTTCTCAGGATTTCATTTTTAATTTGTTATAACATATAACAGTGAGACAAAAACTGCACATACTAAAAAGATGCTATGAGGCAGACCAAAAAGATTGTGGACAGAAAATATGAAAACAATAATCACAGAGATGAATGAAGGCAGGGGATATCTGCAGCAATGAACCTCAAGGGTTCGGAATGCTGAAGAAGAATAGTACAACAGTATTTTTTCCATAATCTGTAAAGAGTGACAGCAACATCTTAAGCATGTCTGAGAAAGCAATAAACGCATGGTGACAAACACAACTTACTGGTGCCTTCCAAGCGCTTGATGCTCCGGGATGTCTGGAGGTAATACTTCCGGACCAACACAAACAGTATTGACAGAGGTATAGTGGGTATGAACACGTACCAGTTGACAATGCCAGCCACCAGAACAATACCAATGATCAACAGGGCACACTGGAAACAGTAATGTTAGAGCTTATTCATTCAGTCTTTCCTACCTTGTGAATGCATCATTAGTATCTTGCTTAACGATGCTAACACGCAATAAGACAGAGACTGAGAGATAGAGAGAGAGAGAGAGAGAGAGAGAGAGAGAGAGAGAGAGAGAGAGAGAGAGAGAGAGAGAGAGAGAGAGAGAGAGAGAGAGAGAGAGAGAGAGAGAGAGAGAGAGAGAGAGATGGAAAGACAGACTGACAGAGAATGAGAGAAACACACACACAAAACGAAAGAGAGACAGGGACAGCAGAAATTCAGACAGAAACAGGAGAGGGGGAGACACAAATTGACAGGGGGGAGATGAGGAGACAGCGATAGTGAAAGAGAGCAGGAAATGGAGAGAGAGAGAGAGAGGAGAGAAAACAATTGGCAGGGAGGAAGGGAGAGGGGTGAGAGACAGAGGGAGGATTCAGGGAGGGCGGGGAGAAAGATAGAGATACACACAGAAGAAGACAGATGCAGGAGTGTGTGTGTGTGTGTGTGTGTGTGAGTATGTGATTTGTGTAAAAAGCATATGTACAGTTTATTTGTCACATCTGGATATCTTCCTAAACACACTCCAATAACTGAAGAGTTGGAGAGTTAAGTGTCCTTTTTCAACAACTATCAGTAGCCTTACAATGGCTGTGAGAATGGCACCATGATGGTTACAAATGCATACATAGATGCCCACTGAGTGGCTCTGTTAACACTCTATGGATAATACAAAACCACATACAAGCATGGGAAATGATTTGAACCAATGCAGAAATCCACAATTAGGACTATTATTATCGTTTTTTTAAACTGGACCATGCGGTACCGATTGGGAAAGAAAACATAACTGATTACCGATTTAAGAACTGACACCATAGCACACTGGGCATACCAATCCATGCTCTGTCTCCTGCTGCAAATGTCTGCAGGTGTCCTATAGCACACTGAATTATGCACACACACACTCACAAAACAAAAAACAATGAGATGCTATCACTGTGGCTAACTATGAATGGGCTAGTATAGGACTAAGTAAGTAAAGGTCCCTTTTCCATGCCTTTAGGCGTATAGGGCATATAGGGCTAGACCTATATTTTTATAGACCAATTGGCACAAGATGGGTGATGTGGTCAGCATCATGCCAGGCTGCCTTTTTCCCCAGGACTGCACCCGGTACCCACTCAGGGCTGGGTTGACTTGGGAGTCAAGGTCATTTTTGAAAAAAGCCCGGCTGCGCCAGGGATCAAGTGTCTAGCCGCTACGTCACGGCGACTCCCGACTGGGCCAAGTACACATCCTAAATGTCATGCAACATCTTGGTCTAACTGCTGGTGTCAAGCAGAGAGTACAGTAACAGATTACTCAGTGATTAGCCAGTCACTGGTCCAGATTTTTTATATTACTACAGATGAATCACCACATAACTGTTCCGTTCCTGTGTCCTTCACTCATCATCATCAGGTGCCTTGCCGACTGGCGTGGGCGATCATGCCTCTCCAAAATCCGCGATCTCCTGCAGCATGTATCAGTTCGTGTGCCGACACACCTCCATGCCATGCAACAAGACTGTCAAGCATCTTCTCTCGTTGTCTTCCTCTATCCCTCCTTCCACAGATCTTTCCAGTGGTCACAACATGTCCTTCACTATCCCATTTGAAAACTAGTGAAAAACTTGTCAGTCCCAGCAAAATCTTGAAGCTTGCATAGGCACCGTAAAAGTGCATAGGGCAGCTGACAAAGTGAGTGGTATGCATGATGAATAATCAATGGAAAATTAATATGAAACGCTATTTGGGACACAAGAGGAAGTCAATGATAGTAAGATTGGCAGAAACAATGAATAGTCAATTACAATTAAAGACTGATTAATAAACACGAAATTTTTTTAACCACAATCACGGATGACTGATTAAAAAATGTCACTGAATCACAGAATGACTGGTACAATAGGAAAAATAGTCAAAGACAATGAAAGATTGATTGGTACACATATTGATTAGTCAACCACAATTAAAGATTGATTGGTATACACAAAGAAGAATCAATTACAATCACAATCACAGACTTTCTAGTAGACATGTAGAACAGTCAATCACAAAGGATACACAGCTTGCGAATAAAAGACCCACACCTTCAACAAAGGTGACTTACCTGAATAAAGTCAAAAAAAGTTACAGGTAACAAATCATCCATGTGTCCTATATCTTTCGAGAAACGGTTGAGAATTCTCCCTGTTTGGAAATCATTGAACAAGACTTAGAAAACAGACTTTGTTATTTAATCCTTTCACCCTCTGAAAGCTTATAAATAAAAGGGCCATGAACCCGTAAGAATTTCCATAAAAAATCCTACACACACACACGCAGGCATACACCACACACACACACAAATATGTTATACAGGTCACGTTCACATTTTATTTATCTCAATTTTTACACCCCCCCCCCCCCCACCCAATATATATATATAATTATCGTGAAGGCACAGGGACTCAGGACGTGACGATCCAGTTGCCCCAACTACTCATGCTTAGGCCATGCTTAGAGACACCATGAAGAGCTCAGCCGAAACCTGCATGCAATCTGGTGGCGGGGAATGAGCACACTGTGAGCCCCACCTTAGCTACGTGTTAAAGGGAAAAGGCAGAAACACAACCCATATTTTCCTTTAGAACCTGGTACAGGGCATTTCTAGCTGCTGCCCGGGGAGGTAGGTAATCCACAGACACCCAGCACCACAATGCCATGAATATGTCAAAATTTAAGAATACATACGAGATCGGTCGTCGCCTCGTCTATCAAGGCCCGCGCCAGACAGTGAGGGAAACCAGGCTGTCATGTGCGAAAAATTGGCTACTGGAAAATTTGAAAATAAATAGGGAAAACAGACACCCCAGGAGGAGGAAGAGTGGGAGGGAGAGCAAAAAGAACTCAGACAGCACAGCAAAAAATACACAGATGCTCAATATTCTGCAGCTGAAAACATCTGTGGAATAAGAAATAAGAAACTTGAACTTGCCAAACTGCTAAAACAACCACAGGGTACACGTTGGCTGCCTACAAAGAAAAACCTGCATAAAGGACTCTGATCTGCATCTCACTGGATATACTAGTTATGCCTGTAAGGTGCAATGACTGCCGGGGCATAGTGACCTATATCCAGAAATGACATACAAGGAGATGTAACAATGCTGTCGACATCTCACCTACAGATGTGCAAAAAAAATAACTATCTGGCACAATGGAAGCAAAATTTACCGCTATACAAACGTGTACAGCCCACCCAGACAACACGCAACATTACCAGGGGACTTTAACGGACACTCGCCACGTTTGGGGTTTCCGACTTTCAAAGCACGGGGGAAATACACGAAATACTTGGGAAAAAACTAACCATTGGCCAGGCAAGAGCACACCACACGTTTAAAGGGCCCCCCTATCTTCAGCAGACCAACCCGACCATTTCCATCCGACTTGAGACGCAAGCATCCCAAGTCCTGGACGACTAGGAAGTGACCCCAAAACCCATACCCCAACTGTAAGCACCACCCCCAAATACGCTTCAAGCAAAAAGAACTGTTGGAATTTCGAAAAGCAAACTGGAAACATTTCAGGAAACACTGATGCCCCGGGAAGAATTTCAACAGCTGTGTGGAAAACTTTTTGTGAAGAATAACAAAGCAATCCGGGAAAGAGCGTGAAAGCCCTCCCAAGGGCAGCGGAAGGGAATAAACCTTTTTGGGAAACAAAAAATTAAAAAAACATATCTGAAAGGGGAAAAAAGCAAGAAAATTTCCGAAACTGCAC